AGTCAGTGGCTCAGATCTCTAAATACATTTGTATTGAGGAACATTCTTGAATAAAACTTCTGGGCTTTGAATTCGACAGTTTGTACTTCCATAAGGAACACTGTATGGCACCGATTTTTTTTGTGACACATCAGAAACAGCAGTGTCATTCTTGCATACCTAACAAGAATTTTTATTTTTTTTAGCATGGCATGTGCTATTTTAATGCTTATACAGCCTCCTTTAACAAAATTTCCTTTGTAGAGCTTTTTATTGGTTCTTATTTAACTCGCACGACAGATTCGGGACCTTGAATTCTCACTCGGCATCAACAGTTTTATATATTAATGTAATAGTGAAAGACAAGATTAATTGTCTTGAGTACGGCTCAACAAGCACAGATGTTGAGAAAAGTACTGAAGAAAACTCAAATGTGAAAATAAAAATAAGCTGGAATGTGGATACAATTAAGGACATGGTCATGAATACAGTAGCAGATTCAATATGAAGAATACGTGTTAGACGCACACTCAAAGAAACCTGTTGCATCTATATTCATGCAAATTACTTCGCAGAACCCAGCGCTGCAGTCTCGGGTGCGAGTTCGCTGAATGAGTCCACTGAAAGTGAGTGCAGGCGGAAAAAGGAGTTTGATCTGCGACAATGAGCATTACATAGGCAAGTGACATGTCATTGTTACTGTTACAGTGCCGAATGTTTCAAACTGCCAGTCGTATCATTCTGCGAGTTCCATCCGTATATTACAGGGTTTGGCTCTCTCGAAATTTTTGCGAGAAAAATTATGAACTGGAAATTTCTAGCGTAGTTCTAGAAAAACTACTTCCAGAATCCTAACTCAGCATCGTAAAGAATATAAAAAGTTTCTAGAGATAAGGTTAGTGCAGGAGTTGAATAAACTAAATACTTAGTTTTGTGAAACCATCTTGTCGTAGTAAACGTATAAAGTTCCCCTAGGTAGAGCTAGTCATTACGGATGATTGTGCCCATTGCATACCATAAAAATTTAATTTGCGACCTACAATATTTACAGACTCAACCAACTCTGAATAAGTGGAACACTTGGCACTAAAGATTGGTCTCACCATGACTGTCTGCAAACATCCACATAATAATTTCCATAAACCTATGCATTTCAAGAAAATATTTGGAGCGTGCTGTTTAAACTACCATAACACTTTTTAACTCTAATAGAAAGCCTGTAGTGGGCCACAACTTAAGCAGTTTTTATTTCATTATGAAGGGCAATAACAAATATGTGAAGCTTAAAACTAGGAGTGCACTGAATTGTTTTCTTAAGTTGAACGTGCTATGCTCGGTTCAATATATTATCTTTGCAGAGCTGACAATGTGCAAGTTCCCATTTTTTTATATTTCACATCTCCCGACTGCTGGGTGGGGTAGGTACATAAGATTAATGACACCAACGTAATACAATGATTATTTTAAGAATTTGTTTGGGTATGGCACTAGCGAAGCCATCTGCGGGAAGTTATTTCTGTGACTCCGTCGAACCTACATCCGTGGGCTGGGGCAGTCAAGCGGTTTTCGGAGAAGCTACTTTTTGGTGCGATGGCGTTAAGGAAGTGTCAGTGAATGAGTATCTTCAGTTTTAGAAGTCAGAACCGCCTATTAATCACGCAGGAATAAAATACGTGCGGACTCTTTTCTGTACTTGCGAGGGCCAATGAAATTATCGTATGTTTGAAAATTTTGGCGGTCTTTGTAAAGTTTCGCTAAAGAAACAATTTTCAGTTCATTTAAATATGTTGTGCATGATAATTTCACAAGACGTAAAATATTTCTAGTTTAGAATACGCGATACTGCAATTATCGTTTCACAAACAAGGGGCTACGTTTTCTTTTTGCCTTCCTCCGCGTGGGGTGAATTTCCCGTTCCCTCGGGATGCGCGGAAGCGCGCGTATCATGAACTCTTTCCCTCCGGGTTTTCGGGAAGTGCGTTTGTGTCCGCCCGTCCTCCCGAGGCGAAATTCAACGTCGCGACATCGTTTGACATCACGTACCAGAGGTTACGCTGCGATGCCAAACGTTTGTTTGGTTACGACTTGCCCCAACCGCAAATCGAAGAACGCCCGAAAAGGCCTGCGTTTCGTCGTCCTGCCGAAAGATGAACCTCGGAGACGCACGTGGTTACGTCGCGCCGGCCGCCAAGACGACACCCAGAACTTGCCTATGACGCCCCGTTTTTGTCACGACCACTTCGACCAAAGTGAGTTCTTCTGCGCGGAGGACACGGGTCGTTCACAGCTTCGATGGAACGCGATGCCGACGCTTCTGCTTCCAGTCGAGGACGTGATCGAGGCATCTCCGCTGCAGCGCCAGAAAGTCGTGGTAAGTTAGTTTTCTTTTTTTTGGCGGCATAGCTTTTGTGGGGAGTTCCGAAAATCTTAGAAGCCACGTGTTCGGAACAAGTTGCAAGACGAATTGCGCGTGCACGCGAAGCTTATGAGCAGGAGCTGTCCACGTAAAGGGATTTATTTGGACAGTGACCGAACACGGACGTACCGATATCCACGAAAAGTGCAATCGATACGTAATGTATAATAATAGATAATCCCAGTGCCAGTAGTGTCGTCAAGATCAGTTATTTCCTGTTTTATGGATGGTTAGTCTCAATATTTCGGACCCCGGAAGGTCGCAGCCTAATTTTGTTTTCACAAGCAACAGTAATGCCGTTACTGTGCACACTGTGATCCGTCGGCACCAGATGAAATAGAACAGAAGCGCGTGAGGGTCTTTTCACGGTGGTCTTTGGCGAAATAAGGGTGGGTGGAATATATACGGAGTGCAAGTGCGTCTACTGTTCGCGTATCTCATGCGTTCGTTTACAACCGACATGTGCCCACGTGCTCTTGTTTGCCATCTGAGATCAACCAGTGGCAGCGCGTACCTGGCTGCTTCGTAAACGTGTGTTTCTTGCGTATTCTCTAAATTACGCGTTGATTGGCACGTTGTTTATGCGTATTTATGTTTTCCCGGAAGCTCGTACAAACTCTCTCCTACGCGAAAGGCGCATTTTGGTTCACTTGCACGCCGTATTATGCGCTGCTTTGTTTCTATTCTTTTGGTCCCGATAGTACATGTTGCGCGTTGAAAAATAGAAGGAAATGATTAGGTTACAAAGATGTGGGAAATGCAAGACTATTTTTAATTCAGAAAATTGCCCTCCCCCCCTTACTTTTACTGCTTGCCAAGCTTGTACCATTGCAAACTGTTAAGAGTAATGAAAATCATGTATGCAGAACATATCCCAAGAACTAGGCAGATGATGCATAATACCACTGTGTCACCATGAGATTCAATAAATAAATACTCATCTTTCTTCAAACAACTATTCCGCAGGGCAACGACACTGGTGCCACCAGTCGGGTACTAGTACCTTCTAGTAGTCCTGAGCATCAGGACAATGGTGCTGTGGAGCCTGCCACAACAGGTCAAGGTGCTCGTAAGTACTTTCGGAAATCAGCGTGCATATAGAGGTTACAAGTCTGTAATTTCTAATTGTAGCAGTGACAAACACCCTTGCTGTGGTAGCAGCTGCACCACCAGTAGCTGCACCACCAGCAGCTGTACCACCAGCGACAGCCATTGCCATGGAGGAGGCAGTTACACCACCAGTAGCTGCACTACCAGCAGCTGCACCACCAGCGACAGCCATTGCAGTGGAGGAGGCGGTTCCACTAAGTCCGCTAAGCCCTGGAGCCACCAGCATCTCATTGGGATCCGATCTGACATACTCCCCAACTCGTGACGAAGATTTTGAGAGGTAAGCTGTTCTTGTTTACATTCCGTTTCGTTTCTAAATACTTTCTTGATTCTGCTGCAGCGATCAATACACACCAGGCCCACCAGAGGGGGAGCGACAGTTCCTCGTGTTTGAGAGCTGCCTGAGGGAGCTGTTCAGCACCTGCCAGGAGTGTTCAAGGCCCTGCAACACCACAATCACCCCCCTGGGCACACTGATCAAGGTGAAAAGCATCTGCCCCCTGAATCACGAGCGGATATGGGACAGTCAGCCTCTCATGAACGGGAGGGCAGCTGGAAACATCCTGCTGTCCAGCCACCTGCTGTTCTCTGGATCAAATGTCACAAGCACCTTGAGGATGCTGCGCCACATGAACGTGGAGGTCTTCAGCGATCAGACCTTCTACACGTATCAGAAGAGCCTCCTGTTTCCTGCAATCGACGAAGTGAGCAATATTTCAAAGGGTCTTAGTTGCTTTCTGTTTTTTTTTTTCTTAGTGGTGCTTAAATAGGTAGATCTGAAGGCAGAGAAGGGTGAAATCTTAGTTGAAAAATGACTAATGCACTTTAGTTTTTGTAAACAAATACTGCAACATAGCCAGGGTTGACTACTAAATATTTATTTACTTGTGTATTTAGGAGGTACTGAAATTACAAATAAGCAAGTTTTATTTTATTGTGCACACATAACCGTAACTTTGTAAGGTTCACCTGGTTTGAACATCAACAATCATTTACATTAACAGGTCTACCTGCAAGAACAACAGGATTTGGTCAGACAGCTGGAGGACCAGGATGTTGACATCACCAGCGATGGCAGATTCGACTCTCCTGGGTTCTCTGCCAAGTTCCTGACCTACACTGCACATGTTCAGCAGATCAACAAGATCCTCCACTCCATCCAAGTCCAGCTAGGAGAGGTAAGAAACCTGATCTGAGCGAAAATATAAACACTGCTTTGCTGGTCGCATAACTCGATTAAAATATGCCACACCTCTGCTTGTAGTCGGAGCGAGCCATGGCAAGTGTCAACATGGAGAAGGAGGGCCTCATCAAGCTGCTGGAATTCTTCAAGGAGATACGTACGTGCACTCAGTCAAGGCTCAGCAGCTACGCAGCAAATTCAGCAACCTGAGCTCACATTTAGTTTTATTATTGCAACTTTCTGGAAATATATGGTGCAGGTATCCATGTAAAATCCTTGGGCACTGACCGCTACCCTGCCATACGAAAACACATGGAGGTGTACGAACCTGGTACCGCACACTACTTCGACATTTGGCACATCTCCAAAAGTAAGCAATTTTGACAAGTATTGCATTTAACCTACATTTTCAGGGAAATATGCTGCAGGTTGATCTGAGTTATATCGTCAAATCTTAGGTGTGAAGAAAAAGCTGAACGCAGCACGAAAACGAGCTGGATGTCAACCCCTAGAAGAGTGGACGCAGGCGACCACCAACCACATGTACTGGTCTGCCATGGCTGCGGGAGGCAACAGGGAGCTGCTCGTCGAGATCTGGCTGAGCATGCAGAACCACGTCATCGACAAGCACACTGGTCACGGGGGCAGCTACACGCGGTGTGTGCACAACGAAATTCTCGAAGCCACAAAAATGTGGATGGATCCCAGTAAGTTATTGCCTTCATAGCCTAGTTTGCTTTTCCTAAACCACATTCTTTCTTCAGACTCCCCGGCCTACAGTCACTACAAGCAGATCACTGGGAACAAGCGCCTCCTGAAGGACCTGGCCCAGATGTCCCCCCACGGAAAGACATTCGCCCTGGAATCCTTCCACAGCGTCCTCATTGACTTCGCTCCCAAGTCCCGGGCATTCACTCCAGAAGGCATGCGTGCAAGGTAATATTATGATTAAGCTGCATTAATGTTTAATCAGTTTGCAAATAATCGTTTATCACCTGAACCTACTACGACCTGACTTAGTCCTTTTCCCCAACGACTAGATATTGGTCTCTCAAAGTACAAGAGAAACGGTCGAATGACAATTATTATTGCAAACACCATCCCTAATAAAACACCATTTCACTGCAGGACTCGAGTGGCAATCTTGCATTTCAATGAGAACGCTGATCGCTGCCAAGCTGAGACGCAAGTGGGCAAGCCACGCTGGGCGGTGAAAACATCCAAAGCACGCAAGGGCCACCACACAGCTTGTCCCGTCAAGACAGCACCCACCTACAGTAAGTGTGGCATTCATTTTATGGTCGTTGACTTGCTCGGTCATTTGATAAAGTGAGAAAAAAAAAGAACCTTCAATTCCAGGCTACGTTCACAAGCTCGTAGAGGAGGTGATCGCAATCAATAGTCGATGGCGGTGTCTTGCTACTGCGGCGAAGGCCAGCACAAACATCTTTCCGGCGCCCATGACTGCGGCCTTTGCCAGGCCTTCAAAGGAGGAGTTAGTGGAAGCACGGAGGTCCCGCTTCGGCCGTACTCTGCAGTAAGGGCACTCTCTAAACTCATGTTTCATTTCCGCAGCCTGAACGAAGTATACCTGCCAGTTAAAATGAGCGTCCTAGTACATCAATGACTCTACTTTCACAGGACTCCCTGAACATCGCCATGCCCTCCATGCAGCCTGCCATCTCATCCTCAAAGCCAGTGGTAAGTGTGGCTGCAACGAAGCGATAACCGGTTTATAAATACGCAACCTTTTCTCTACAGAAATGCCCCGGACAGTACAAAGTCCACTCATTCGTCCCGCAGTCTCGTCATAAAAGCCAGCAGTAAGTGTGGCCGCTGCACGATGCTAGCTAGCAGTTCTGTAACTACGCAACCTTTTCTCTACAGAAATGCCCCAGGCAGTACAAAGTCCACTCAATCGTCCCGCAGTCTCGTCATAAAAGCCAGCAGTAAGTGTGGCCGCTGCACGATGCTAACAGTTCTGTAACTACGCAACGTTTTCTCTACAGAAATGCCCCAGGCAGTACAAAGTCCACTCATTCGTCCCGTAGTCTTGTCATAAAAGCCAGCAGTAAGTGTAGCCGCTGCACGATGCTAGCAGTTCTGTAACTACGCAACCTTTTCTCTACAGAAATGCCCCGGGCAGTACAAAGTCCACTCATTCGTCCCGCAGTCTCGTCATAAAAGCCAGCAGTAAGTGTGGCCGCTGCACGATGCTAGCAGTTCTGTAACTACGCAACCTTTTCTCTACAGAAATGCCCCAGGCAGGACAAAGTCCACTCATTCGTCCCGCAGTCTCCTCATAAAAGCCAGCAGTAAGTGTGGCCGCTGCACGATGCTACCAGTTCTGTAACTACGCAACCTTTTCTCTACAGAAATGCCCCAGGCAGGACAAAGTCCACTCATTCGTCCCGCAGTCTCGTCATAAAAGCCATCAGTAAGTGTGGCCGCTGCACGATGGTAGCAGTTCTGTAACTACGCAACGTTTTCTCTACAGAAATGCCCCAGGCAGTACAAAGTCCACTCAATCGTCCCGCAGTCTCGTCATAAAAGCCAGCAGTAAGTGTGGCCGCTGCACGATGCTAACAGTTCTGTAACTACGCAACGTTTTCTCTACAGAAATGCCCCAGGCAGTACAAAGTCCACTCATTCGTCCCGTAGTCTCGTCATAAAAGCCAGCAGTAAGTGTGGCCGCTGCACGATGCTAGCTAGCAGTTCTGTAACTACGCAACCTTTTCTCTACAGAAATGCCCCAGGCAGTACAAAGTCCACTCAATCGTCCCGCAGTCTCGTCATAAAAGCCAGCAGTAAGTGTGGCCGCTGCACGATGGTAGCAGTTCTGTAACTACGCAACGTTTTCTCTACAGAAATGCCCCAGGCAGTACAAAGTCCACTCATTCGTCCCGCAGTCTCGTCATAAAAGCCAGCAGTAAGTGTGGCCGCTGCACGATGCTAGCTAGCAGTTCTGTAACTACGAAACCTTTTCTCTACAGAAATGCCCCAGGCAGTACAAAGTCCACTCAATCGTCCCGCAGTCTCGTCATAAAAGCCAGCAGTAAGTGTGGCCGCTGCACGATGCTAACAGTTCTGTAACTACGCAACGTTTTCTCTACAGAAATGCCCCGGACAGTACAAAGTCCACTCATTCGTCCCGCAGTCTCGTCATAAAAGCCAGCAGTAAGTGTGGCCGCTGCACGATGCTAACAGTTCTGTAACTACGCAACGTTTTCTCTACAGAAATGCCCCAGGCAGTACAAAGTCCACTCAATCGTCCCGCAGTCTCGTCATAAAAGCCAGCAGTAAGTGTGGCCGCTGCACGATGCTAGCTAGCAGTTCTGTAACTACGCAACCTTTTCTCTACAGAAATGCCCCAGGCAGTACAAAGTCCACTCAATCGTCCCGCAGTCTCGTCATAAAAGCCAGCAGTAAGTGTGGCCGCAGCACGATGCTAACAGTTCTGTAACTACGCAACGTTTTCTCTACAGAAATGCCCCAGGCAGTACAAAGTCCACTCATTCGTCCCGCAGTCTCGTCATAAAAGCCAGCAGTAAGTGTGGCCGCTGCACGATGCTAGCAGTTCTGTAACTACGCAACCTTTTCTCTACAGAAATGCCCCGGGCAGTACAAAGTCCACTCATTCGTCCCGCAGTCTCGTCATAAAAGCCAGCAGTAAGTGTGGCCGCTGCACGATGCTAACAGTTCTGTAACTACGCAACCTTTTCTCTACAGAAATGCCCCAGGCAGTACAAAGTCCACTCATTCGTCCCGCAGTCTCGTCATAAAAGCCAGCAGTAAGTGTGGCCGCTGCACGATGCTAACAGTTCTGTAACTACGCAACCTTTTCTCTACAGAAATGCCCCAGGCAGTACAAAGTCCACTCATTCGTCCCGCAGTCTCGTCATAAAAGCCAGCAGTAAGTGTGGCCGCTGCACGATGCTAACAGTTCTGTAACTACGCAACCTTTTCTCTACAGAAATGCCCCAGGCAGTACAAAGTCCACTCATTCGTCCCGCAGTCTCGTCATAAAAGCCAGCAGTAAGTGTGGCCGCTGCACGATGCTAGCTAGCAGTTCTGTAACTACGCAACCTTTTCTCTACAGAAATGCCCCAGGCAGTACAAAGTCCACTCAATCGTCCCGCAGTCTCGTCATAAAAGCCAGCAGTAAGTGTGGCCGCTGCACGATGCTAACAGTTCTGTAACTACGCAACGTTTTCTCTACAGAAATGCCCCAGGCAGTAGAAAGTCCACTCATTCGTCCCGTAGTCTTGTCATAAAAGCCAGCAGTAAGTGTGGCCGCTGCACGATGCTAGCAGTTCTGTAACTACGCAACCTTTTCTCTACAGAAATGCCCCGGGCAGTACAAAGTCCACTCATTCGTCCCGCAGTCTCGTCATAAAAGCCATCAGTAAGTGTGGCCGCTGCACGATGCTAGCAGTTCTGTAACTACGCAACCTTTTCTCTACAGAAATGCCCCAGGCAGGACAAAGTCCACTCATTCGTCCCGCAGTCTCGTCATAAAAGCCATCAGTAAGTGTGGCCGCTGCACGATGCTACCAGTTCTGTAACTACGCAACCTTTTCTCTACAGAAATGCCCCAGGCAGGACAAAGTCCACTCATTCGTCCCGCAGTCTCGTCATAAAAGCCATCAGTAAGTGTGGCCGCTGCACGATGGTAGCAGTTCTGTAACTACGCAACGTTTTCTCTACAGAAATGCCCCAGGCAGTACAAAGTCCACTCAATCGTCCCGCAGTCTCGTCATAAAAGCCAGCAGTAAGTGTGGCCGCTGCACGATGCTAACAGTTCTGTAACTACGCAACGTTTTCTCTACAGAAATGCCCCAGGCAGTACAAAGTCCACTCATTCGTCCCGCAGTCTCGTCATAAAAGCCAGCAGTAAGTGTGGCCGCTGCACAATGCTAGCTAGCAGTTCTGTAACTACGCAACCTTTTCTCTACAGAAATGCCCCAGGCAGTACAAAGTCCACTCAATCGTCCCGCAGTCTCGTCATAAAAGCCAGCAGTAAGTGTGGCCGCTGCACGATGCTAACAGTTCTGTAACTACGCAACGTTTTCTCTACAGAAATGCCCCGGACAGTACAAAGTCCACTCATTCGTCCCGCAGTCTCGTCATAAAAGCCAGCAGTAAGTGTGGCCGCTGCACCATGCTAGCTAGCAGTTCTGTAACTACGCAACCTTTTCTCTACAGAAATGCCCCAGGCAGTACAAAGTCCACTCAATCGTCCCGCAGTCTCGTCATAAAAGCCAGCAGTAAGTGTGGCCGCTGCACGATGCTAACAGTTCTGTAACTACGCAACGTTTTCTCTACAGAAATGCCCCAGGCAGTACAAAGTCCACTCATTCGTCCCGCAGTCTCGTCATAAAAGCCAGCAGTAAGTGTGGCCGCTGCACGATGCTAGCTAGCAGTTCTGTAACTACGCAACGTTTTCTCTACAGAAATGCCCCAGGCAGTACAAAGTCCACTCAATCGTCCCGTAGTCTCGTCATAAAAGCCAGCAGTAAGTGTGGCCGCTGCACGATGCTAACAGTTCTGTAACTACGCAACGTTTTCTCTACAGAAATGCCCCGGACAGTACAAAGTCCACTCATTCGTCCCGCAGTCTCGTCATAAAAGCCAGCAGTAAGTGTGGCCGCTGCACGATGCTAGCTAGCAGTTCTGTAACTACGCAACCTTTTCTCTACAGAAATGCCCCAGGCAGTACAAAGTCCACTCAATCGTCCCGCAGTCTCGTCATAAAAGCCAGCAGTAAGTGTGGCCGCTGCACGATGCTAACAGTTCTGTAACTACGCAACGTTTTCTCTACAGAAATGCCCCAGGCAGTACAAAGTCCACTCATTCGTCCCGTAGTCTTGTCATAAAAGCCAGCAGTAAGTGTGGCCGCTGCACGATGCTAGCAGTTCTGTAACTACACAACCTTTTCTCTACAGAAATGCCCCGGGCAGTACAAAGTCCACTCATTCGTCCCGCAGTCTCGTCATAAAAGCCAGCAGTAAGTGTGGCCGCTGCACGATGCTAGCAGTTCTGTAACTACGCAACCTTTTCTCTACAGAAATGCCCCAGGCAGGACAAAGTCCACTCATTCGTCCCGCAGTCTCCTCATAAAAGCCAGCAGTAAGTGTGGCCGCTGCACGATGCTAGCTACCAGTTCTGTAACTACGCAACCTTTTCTCTACAGAAATGCCCCAGGCAGTAGAAAGTCCACTCAATCGTCCCGCAGTCTCGTCATAAAAGCCAGCAGTAAGTGTGGCCGCTGCACGATGCTAACAGTTCTGTAACTACGCAACGTTTTCTCTACAGAAATGCCCCAGGCAGTACAAAGTCCACTCATTCGTCCCGTAGTCTTGTCATAAAAGCCAGCAGTAAGTGTGGCCGCTGCACGATGCTAGCAGTTCTGTAACTACGCAACCTTTTCTCTACAGAAATGCCCCGGGCAGTACAAAGTCCACTCATTCGTCCCGCAGTCTCGTCATAAAAGCCAGCAGTAAGTGTGGCCGCTGCACGATGCTACCAGTTCTGTAACTAC